GCTCTTCCCTCTTGTATGCACCCTTCAGGTATTGGAAGGTCGCTATAAGGTCCCCCAGGAGTGTTATCTTCTCCAGGCTGAACAACCTCTCAGCCTATCTTTGTAGGAGAGGTGCTTCAGCCCTTTCAGAGTTGAAAGAATGTTCCAGAACATGGGACACAGAAATTACTATGTCAAATACGGAGTCTGGTTTCTGACACTTGAAATGATTAATCTGAAATGCTGAAAAAGAAGATCTAAGATAATGTCCCTTCTAGCTATTTTTTTACTTCCCTCCCTCCCTCTCTCCCTGTGCTTCCATGGGATGTAGCAGCAGTCTCATCCCTCAGCTACCTGTCTGGTGCTCTCTTGAGCTTACTTCAGCTTGTTCCTACTCTCAGTGAGATTATCTAGCAGTGAGTTCCATATATTAATTATAAATTGCATAAAGCAACAGTTTATTATCAACTTCTTTTTGTCTTCCCAATTTCATTGCATATCCCTCTTGTTATCGTGACACAGTACATGACAGCCCCTGGCTCACCTTTCTGCCTTCAGCTCCATCTATCTCTGCTGTTTATGTATAATAGTCCCTAAAGAAGTGCTTTCTTTAAGGATTATTATACACATATTTCCCCTACAGACGTAATACACAAATCATAGGCAGTAAAGATGCCAAAGACCCGAAAAGTGGTCTGAATCAATCTGTTGATGAAAAATTGTTCCCCACTGTACATCTTTGTTCCAGATTTACGTTACGTTACGTTACGTTGCGTTGCGTTGCATTGCGTTGCGTTACGATACGTTACTTCAAAGAGTAAAAAGCTAAAAAATTAATTTTTTGATCAGTTACATCACAGTCCTGAGATTTAACTTTGACTTTGCTTCATTTCATCCCCTGTTTCAGATATTCTGGAACCACCACTACAGTTTTCCAATACTTCTTTAGTATTTGTATATTGAAATATGTGCAGGCATCTAAAATTAGTTTCTTTAAACATGCTGATAAATTCCTATTAATTCCATTACTGCTTAGTTACTAACAATTTATGAATCAGAAAACTTCTGGGGATTAAGGAAAAGTTGCTATCTAAATAATAAAAATCATTATATAGTTAATATATGTATTTTCTATGTTTCAGACTTCACATTTACTTCCAATAGCTGTAACAGACAGCAGAGACTGGCACCTATTTCTACTTTTTGTTTGAAGCCTGAATTGAGATCTCTTTGTATATAGAGTATTATAACTCCTGTATGGCTGTGTAACAACAAGCAACAAATTATCTTGCATTTTTGAGATACTGAATGACATTTTTCATGAGAAAAACCTACTATTACAAAAGGGCGATTTTTGAAGATTGTCATAATAGCTGACTGGGACAAGCATCCGCTTGCTTCTGTAAAAGAAAGGAGTTTTATCACATTTATATTGGATCCAGGTAGCCTGGTTTTTATAGCTATATAAAGGGAAACTTCGAGGCAGTGTTTTCAGCAGGCAGTAGATTCTGCCTAAAGACAGTTTATTGGTATTTTGAGATATCAAAGGCATTTTGCACAAATCAAAGGTATTTTGATACTTGTACTGTTTAGATAGCATGTACATAATTCTTGTATAGCTTACACTACACTTTTACTAAAACTATTTGGAAACCAATAGACATTGCTCTCTCAGTGAAGACCAACACTAACAAAGATACATAAGCATAGAATGAGAAGTGATTTTTTTCCCATACCTGCTGACCTTGAAATAGTGTTTTGAGTGCAATCAGCATGAAAACAGTAATTCACATATGCACACCATGCTACTTATTCACGTGTTTTCATTTCTGTTGCAAAAATATTTTAAATCATTAGAGAGCTCTATGTTGCTTTATTATCACTGGCTTTATGCTTCCTCCCCATCTTTCCATGTGGATGATTTGATTTGCCAGATAATCTAATGTCTTTTTTGTAGATGTAGGTAAATATATCTTCTACAAATCTGTCCGAAATTCTGCCAAACTGCTAGCACTGCCAGTGCCCAGAGCAATGCCCTGTGAAACAGAAGGAAAAACGTGAAATACACATTAATCTTTAGCCTTGTAACTCAAATATCTCTGTTGATAAAGGCTGTTACAGTGATTTGCTAGAGGGAAGTGAGTTGTCTGAGTATGTGGTTTTGTTCAGGCTGGTTTTATTTGCTTTTCTTTAGAAATACAACCTATCATGTTGAGCAAGATATTTGCATCTAATCTGCCCAGAGACGCTATTAAGGACATGCTCTAAAACCCAGAAATACAGTGTGGTCTCTTGTAGCTGTGTTGACAAAAAGGTCACAAGATTTGTAACACAAAATGACCTACTTTTTTTAAAGAAAGATTTTTTTCCCCCACACTATTAGTACTAGTATTAGGTATATAATAAAAATGTATTAATGGCCTTGTAAAACTATATCTTGTCAATCTATATTTTTGTTCCTGTAAATTAAGATAAGCTGTGAACAAGATAAAAGGGAGGCAAATGCTGGGACAGTCTTAAGAAGTATATTTGTTTCTTTCGCTGCACCTCCTAGAAAAATTTCTACTCTCAAACTACCAATGAAAGCAAACCAGGCACCAAATAGATCTACTGGTAATTAAGATAGACAGAAGCAGGAGCTGGTACAAGTCCCCTCTGTGTCAATTAAGCACATTCATAAGGAGGTAGATTTATTTTTAGGCCGGTTCCTCCTAGCCAGGTCAATTGTCACAAGTTGGATCAATGAAAACAGTGACCTATGCAAAAAGCAATCTTGGTATTTCTTGCAGACAACACCAGGTTGGGTGGGAATGTTGATCTGCTTGAGGGTAGGAAGGCTCTACAGAGGGATCATTTTTTTCACTGAAATGGTTATCAAGCATGGGAATGGGCTGCCCAGGGAGGTGGTTGAGTCATCATCCTTGGAAGCATTTAAAAGACATGTAGACATGATGGTTAGGGACATGGTTTAGTGGTGGACTTGGCAGTGCTAGGTTAATGGTTGGACTCAATCTTAAGAGCCTTTTCCAACCTAAATAATTCTATAATTCTATTTTTTTTAAGTCTTCATTCTGCTCTTTATCCTTAATAAATATTCTACAATTCTAAATCCTCAATCTAACTCTTAGAATAATTTGGAGAGTAGATTTGTCTACAGTATTTTAAGATAAAATGAATATACATGGTTTGTTATTTTGTTCTTGACATGTAAAATTTGTTTATATAATGTAAACATGAGAGCAAGTAGCTTTGCATGCTCATTCCTACAAGTCACTTCAATCTATTAAAGTACTTTTTCCAAAGCAGTCTGTTAAGTCTAACCAAAAAGCCATCAAGCACAAGAGTAGCTCTGTTTCAAATTAAAGCAGCAGGTGGGCACACCACAGACAAATAGCAGTGTGGCATTCCCCAGATGGCAGAACCTTTGTCATTAAATAACAGCAGAAATACTGCATAGCTCAAAGATGTAAAAATGAAGCATATCTTTTGCACAGATCCCACACCTGGAAATGGAGCCACCTCCTATGGCAGAAGTCATCCTAAGACTGCTGAGGAAATTGCTTGAAATTGAGACAATGCCTTTCTCCAGGGGCAGTAGCCATGACCCTTTCCTAAAAGCTAGTTTAGTTTCCTTAGTACTGCAAAGTATGAGAAATCTTTTTGTGTGAGTGATCAGTTTCATTATCTCCTTTTTCAGGGCAAGTCCTTTATTTCTTTGTTAAAAATATATATACTTTTAATTTGGGGGATTTTGTTGTGTTGCTTTTTTTTAAGATGAGATGAACACAGCAGCATCTTGCAGGGAGAGACCTTTACAGCCTGAAATGCTGCAAAACCTCTTGCTGCTACATATTCAAATAAAATCTGTCCACTTTGAACATCCTAACAACCAAAATGCAAGAGGGGAATAAACACAAGAGTCTTGAGAGTGCCAGGAGCTTCTCCCTGCCCAGACCACAACCCAGCCCCAGCAAGGGAATGAAGAGGCCAGGGCTAGACCTGCCAGGGTGCAAATGTGGTTCTTCATGAGATAGATCTGCTAATGGTGCCTGCAGCCCAGGCTGGTGCGGAGATATCTGGCATTCAAGGGTGCACACAGCCCTTGGCAGCTCTTGCCCTGTGGAGGTGCTCAGCAACACTCTGTGTCTTCCTCTTCAGCTTAGCTGCATTTGCTCAGTGCTGAAATTAATTTATCAGGCACAGCAGGACATGGTTGGAAGAAGCAGAGGAAGGATCTGGCTGATCTCAGGCTTGTGGCAAAGAGTTGTTCAGACACCATCATGCAAGAAGCCACTTTCCAGAACCAGAGTCTGGGAAGAAGTATTTTGGAGAGCTCATCACATCTGGCTGAGGGAAGGACTGTGTTGATCATGGCTTAGATCCCTACTCAGGCTTTATCAGACACAAACTTGCTAAGCTTGCCAACTTAGCAGATTCATTGACTAAGACCTTGAAACATCATGTCTCTGTAACATAGCCCTCCCTACCCTACATGGCCTGAACTTCATTACTGGAGGTCTGGGTTCCCCTGTAGGCTTTTTTTAGGAACTCTGTGTCTGATTTAGAGACATCGCAGTTGGCCCACCCCAAAGGTTTCCTTCTTCAAGCGAAAAGCCTGTATATTCAGCTGATGTGCTGTCACTAGGCTGGCTACAACCAGAAAGCTTTGTGAAGCTTACCAAATGAATTGCCAGGATCTGTCTACAAACAGTTTATTCAGTTGAGGAAGCAGGACAAAAACAAAAGAAAAGAAGTCTTTGCTAGAGGGAAAATAATACCCATCACAGGCAGGTTTGCTGTCGTAATTGTTCTTTTTCATTTGTAAAACCTTAATTTCCCTTCCTAAAGACTTCTGGTTTTGGCATAGTTTCCAGTGACAAGGCCTATATTGTTATCTAGACCACAATCAGCCCTAAATTCATTTTTAAAGAGCTGTTTGGTTTGTTGATTTTTTTAGTAGACATTATGTTACATACTCTGGATGTCTTTGTCATATGTCATTTTCATATTTTTTAGGAGCACCTGAAAGCTTTTGACCGAGAAGTAAATGCATTTGTGGACTATATGTTTGGACCTCGAGGTAAGTTGCTCCACCTATAGCGTCTTAAGAAATACCAGATTGCCACTCAAAAATATTGTAATAAATAGAAGCAGTCACAATTTTTTGAATAGTGTCTCATTGAAAAATATGGACTAGGCGGAATCACAGTATTTGCAGGAACACAAATTATTATTATTGTAGGAAATCTATCAATATACTTCGTTTATAGAAAGCCAACAGATTTTTGTTATGACTGTTTGACATATTATTATCCATAATGCAAATTAAAACTAATTTTAGATTATACTGAAGGTGAAAGAAGAAGTGGAACTGGTTTGGGATTTTATTGAAACTTAAAAAAATATGACTAGATTTGAGAGTCCTTTGTTTCTAAGAATATCAAAGCATTTCAGTTTTACATCCTAATGTAGTTTTTTAAAAAATTGAAACCCTGGATTTTTCTGAAAGTGGAAGATCTGTTTTGGTACTGATTCTCCTTCATAATCCAGTTATTGTTTGGTCCAGCTACCTATAAAATAACCTAATTCAGAAGGATGCTCAGTGCAAAAGCAACAAAGTGCTTTTAGCACTCTGCAGGATCACACCCGAAATTTCATAAAACCAATAGATTGGGTGGGAGAACAAGTGCATCTTTCTATTTCCTATTGTTGATTTCTAGAACAGTTTGGATAAGAATAACTTGAATAACTGTAGCTTGGAGGTGCCCCATGCTTTGTAAGTAGTAGTAAAAAAACCAAAACCAACAAACCACCAAGCAAAACATCCAGCTGAAGTAGGAGTACAGAAAGAAAGAGAAAGGCTACAGCAAGGTGAGGATGGAGCATCAAAGTTAGACCTAAGAGAGCCAAGAAACTAGAGGAAAGGGGTAAGACAAGAGCTTAGCAGACAGAGTCTTCAGCAAGGATCCCTGTAAGGCTACCTTGCTGTTGATAGGGCTGGGACAGGACAGCTATCCTTGAGGAGAGACCTATGCTTATGTACTCTCATTTTGTTGCAATAATGTCCTCCAGGTCCCAGAAACAGTTCTTACTTAATTAGGAGGATGAGGGAAAGGAAGCTGTAGCATTCTTAAAACCATGGAACAGCTTGGGAGCTCTGACAGAAGTGATTAAAACAGAATAAGTGTAATGCATTACTTCTATAATAGTGCATTTTAACATTAACAAAGAAATATGAGTAAAAATACTACTATTTTTTTTTCAAATGGACATGATTTTGTTCTTCATTCTGCTTTCATCATTGGTCCAGAACAAATTGTTTGAAGGAACAAACTGTAGTCAATCTAGCACAGAATACTACACAAATCCCTCTGGGTTTTTAGAAAGCATTTTAGTTAAACAAGTGTTATCTGTTTTACTTGCCAAGTATATTACCACCCCTCTCCAGACATCAATGCTGAAGAGGTACATTGGTCTGTACCTCTTCACTATGATCTTTCATTTGAACTGGTGGTATAATGAGACAGTATCATACATTTCATTACTAACATAGCTCCCTGCAATGTGTTTATACACATATAAATAATTCATGATAAACAGCAAACAGGTTGAAATTGGATAGAATGATCCCACAAATGAAAATCTAATGAATTCTTGAGAACTTCCCCAAGTATCTAAAACCAACAAGCCATTCCTCTTCTTTCTCTCCAATTCTCATCCACAGTACACACTTCATTCAACAAAAAGATGGCTTACAAAGATAGACACCAGCGCTTTGTTCTTTTAAAATCAATCCCATATTTATGGTTTACATTCTAAGTAGTAAGTCCCAAATTATTGGTATGACTGTATTGGTCTTAGTCATCATTGCTGGTGTGGCTGAGGCCACAAAAAGAGATAGAAAGTCATGCACTAGTCCCTGGAGGCAATCTCTGCTCACATTTGTAGTACCAGGTTAACACAAGATGCAGCACTATGCTGCTAGAATAAGGGGCATACCATCAAAGATCTGAATTTGATTTGTATCTAGGCATATTTTGTGCCTTTGTTTACTGGAGTTGGCTGGACTCTATACACACATTTACCTCACTGCTTGCTTTTGAACTAGCAGACCAAGGCCTTTAGATCAGGGAACAGGAGCCAGGTACATGCGCATCGATTGTATCTCTTAATAAAAGGTGGTCTTACAATTTGGTATCGGTCAATATTATTTTGGATGGGAAGTTATCTAGGCTCAAGGCAAAATGAGAAAGAGTGAAATAGCTATGTTGTTCTGTAAGAGAGCATTTTTCCAGGGTCATCTTCATCTGCAGAGTACTGTTTGGTGTTACGCAAAATTAAGGAATATTGAATTGCAGGAGCTAAATCTATTTAAATTGGTTGGTTGTTTTATCTATGAAAGGAACAGCGGTAGTCATGAATAGATATATTTCAATAAAGTTATGATAAAGTAATAAGCATTCCTCCTCTCCTTAACTGATTACAAGCGGTAGCAAGCTATTGATACAAAATCATCTGCCCTCTGCACCTAAAAAGGTCTGAATCTACTCAGACACCAACTGGCCAAAGATCTACAGAAACTTGAATCAAAACGTATCTAACCTCACTGATAAAAGCCTGATACCTTTAAAGAGCCTGGGAGACCTGCCACTCATTTTAAAGGAGCCAAGATTTCACCGCAAGGGTCTGGCACATCGTGGCCAGTGATCGTGAATGATCTTATTCACGGAGCAATTGGAGCTTGTGGGGGCCTGCTCCTTCCCCTGCTGTAGTCCAGCGCTTTCACTCTGTGGCTTTATTCACTGCCTTGGTCTCAAATTTGGATGCTGTGTGGGTTCAACATTGTAAAAATAATCCTCTCTCCTATTGACAGTGTAGGTTTATAGTACTTAAACAAGGAGATTGAACCATCAGTCAAGAGAAATTCTTTTGATCTCTCGTTCTTTCAACAACTTTTTTTTAAAATACACTCTCTTTCCTCTCCCTTTGTGACAAACAAAACACTCCCTCTTCTTGTCATTCAGGGATAAGTGTAAATGGAAACAAAATAGTCACGTTCCTTGGCTGCCATTTATAAATCACTTTCTGCCAATAACCCTTAAAGGTACCAAGGCTGGAGTGGAAAATAATCAGTAAGGGTACATGTTTTAAAAAATTCACCTTGAAATGTAAATCTATAGAACTTAAAAATACTCAAAACACTGATCTGAACAAGCACATGAGTTCTGCTTTTGCATGGATCAGCCCACACGCTTGTGGCCACTCATAGGAGAGTGAAAACTTTCTGAGGGCATACTGGGGGAGCATTTAACACTCTTTAGTTTAATTTTTATTCTCATCTCTTCCAATTACTTTTCCTCTCTGAGCAAACAAGCTGATTTGTTATCTACTGATATCAGTTAGCCTTTGTGCAAGTAACTTTTATGTACCCAGTGTTGCAATCCTCAGATAAGGAGACCTTTAGATAGCAGCCTTGCTGATATGACTGCTTTCTACATCTTCATTTAGGATACCAACTAAATAAATTTAATCCGTATGCTTCTAAAACATACACTAGATCAACAAATATATGCAAAACCTTTAGCTGTCCTATGACTCCTGTGTCCTGTTTAAAGCCTGTATGGGAAGAGAACCTGTTTGGAGCACCCACAGGAGTAGAAACCCCTCAAAAACATCCATTCAGGCTTGTGAACCTTAAGAGGAAGTGGATTTTTAAGTCAAAACCAGAAGAGCACTGGACATCCACGCTAACTTAGGTCTGGTTGAAAGTCTTTCCTGCAAAAGAGCTTACATGCCATGTGGAGCCCAAATCCAACAGCTGAGTGTTACAGCCACTACAGTGGAAGCTTGGTGGGAAGATGAAGAAGACTGTAATGAGTAATAAAGTTGACCTGTTCATAAGCAGATTACTCTAACTCACATAAAAATATCACTTTAGGTATACATGTGTGTATATATTTCTGAGGAGAGCATAGTTGGAAAGAATACAGTAAAGCAAAATGATGATAGGTAATTGTTAAATGTTTGGGTGCATTTGGTTTGTGCATCATCCATTGCCAAGTTTTTTTTCCAGACTCAACACAGATAGAAAAATAGTATTGTTTTTTTCATGCATTGTGAATACCTTTTCTTCTGTTACAATTTTTAACATAAACTTGGTCTTTATGAAAAATAAACTAAGTAATTTAAAATAGTTCCTAAGAGGAGGAAAAACTACTGTAACCTGCACAGTATCTTCTCACTAACTTACTTCTTCACTTACTCTATAACTCACTAGAGACTTAGAGTAACCTTTTAGAAAACCTAGCCATCATACACCTTTTTTTTTTTCATAGATAAATGAAGATCATCGCTGTGGAAAATTGACTCTAAATTTTGCTCCATCTTGGGAAAAAAATAAAAAACCCAACCAAAAAAACCGCACACACCAAAAAACCCCAAAACAATGAAACCAAAACATACTCCTTTCACTTTTGACATCCAGTTGCTCATAGGACAAGGAAGCAGTGCCACCAGATTGGCATATAGGATTAGGCGTTGCTCATATACACTGAACTATCTGATTACTGCCAATGGGATTACTTGTGTGAATAAGGCAAGCAGGATTTGACCTTAATATTTCATTTCAGGACCAGGCAAGTGGGACAGAAACTATGAGAAAGCAAGCCCTTGCCTTACCAAATACATTTGGTAAACATCAAAGTAAACATTTGCCATTTGTTTTTCATATTTAATGCTTTTGAAAAATCCTCCCTTTGTATAAATGTCTTGTAGAAAATATTATATACCTTTAAACATATATGGTGAATGCAGAATTAAAATACTATATGAACTGGCAACTTGACATACATACTTTGTAGCTGCAAACTGTCATTGAGCAGATTAAAAGATGATTTAATTAAAAATTAAGTTAAATTATTAAATTAAGTAGGCATATAGGAATGTTTTCTTCTTTTCATTTTCTCTTTTCTGTTAAAATTAGGAGATTTAAATTATTAAGGAATTCCATGTAGTTTTCACCACACATTCTCTGAATTAGTATCCAGTTTTGGGTTGGTAAAAGCAATGGATAGAGCTCTTAATGTGAGCAGAGCATGGCAGACTCCCTCTCAGGCTTTTAGCAGACTTTTTGATGAAAAGATCTACCTTATTTTAGCAATACTTTATCGTAGCCTTTCTTAATGGCCTGCTGCATGTGTTTCTTTTCAGATACCAGGGTTAGAGGATGGTTCCTTTTGGACTCTTACCTTCCCACATTTTTCCTTACTGGAGCATACCTACTCTGCATATGGCTGGGCAACAAGTTCATGAAGGACAGGCCTCCCTTCTCTCTCAGGGCTCACCTCATCGTGTATAACCTTGGGATTACACTGCTTTCCTTGTACATGCTTATAGAGGTAAGTGTTCTTCAGTGCAGTGTGGCTGAGAAAGGTGAGCAATATACAGTGTTTACCAGAATTATCTTAACAACAGATAGTTTTGCTAGGAAATTTAACATCAATAGTTAAGTACATTTAAGATAAGAAAAGACACTTAGCAATTGGATAGTGAATTTTACCTTCTCAGCTTAGATCTCTCAATGATCCTTCCTGAGCTACAGTCCACTTCTGAGTACAGTTGGCTGCTATCAGGACAGCGTCTACAAGCATTAACTCGAACCTGCAGCAGTTCCTCAGCAATAACATGCCTACACCTCATTCTTCAGCACCCATGATTATGCCCACAGATTAAGTTTTAATTGTATGACTGCAAAAAGTCATTCCATAGGCAAATAGCCATGCTTAAATGTGAACAGATTTATAGATGTAAGTACTGATTTATTCATGGTATTGGCAATTGAATGTTATTCTTCTACTCTCCTGACTAAAGCTGGCTTCCATCACAGAGTCAGGCAGTAGAAACATTAAGTAAGAAACATGATAAAAACCTACCATTTCAGCCAAAAGCAAGTGCTCTGGGGACTTGAAGGCTGAATATGCTCACACAGGTTGTTTCCTGAATACTTAGTAGGAAGGAACATGCTCACAGAAATCAGGATCCATTCATAGCCAGAAAGGTGGCTTGAATGTATCTGGTGATTTTGCAGCAGCAAGGGACTCAAACAGTGCTCCTCAGCAAAGACACATGCATTTTCAGCTCCCCAATGGGGAGCAGAAGCCAAAAGTCACTATTTTGATATTATATGGGAGTTGGCCCATTCTCAGACTTGCAATAATTAGAGGTACTTTAATATTTAAGCCTTAACATCCATCACTTGCAGCCCTAAAAGACAAACACCACAAAGCAGTTTCTGCCTTGGCTTAAAAAGTGGCCCCAGATGTGAGAAGCCCTGGCGAAAGGATGTGCTTGATTTCATGGTGTGAGTTGCAGAGGCATGAGCTGACATTGCTGCCTTGCCTGCACAGCCTCACGGCATTTCTTGTTCCCTGGGCTCCCAGCCACAGCAGCAGCTTCCATGAAAAAAAACAAGGACCAACTTTTCTGTCAGTCAGAGAAGAAACTTTGCAGAAGCCAAACAGGATCCCAAAGATTTTCAGTTTTAAATTAAGTTGACCTAAACACCAGGTGACTGTTCTGATCAAAAGGCTGAAGAGCAGTTTAGGTTTGTGTCTTAGTGCAAAGGACTGATCGTGCACAGATCATACACAGAGCTTCGTCCTGGTCAAAGCTCCAGCTCGCTTCAGCAGTTGCTGCGGGTGTCTGAGAGTGCAGGATCAGACCCAGAGCAAAGAGAAAGCGAGCACAATTGCTGGAAGGTTTGGTGACTCCATACTGATTTTCCTCCTTGATGTAAATCAGCACTTTGATGTTCAAATCCCTGGTCTGCTTGAAGGTACAGAGATAACTGTCTTCAGTAGTAAGAATCAGCAAAAAATATTAACTGAATAGAAAACAAAAATAGTGCTCTATACCCCATGCAGACTGGTTTGGAGTGCCACAAGGAAATGAATACACAAAGAGAATTTCATCAGGTTTCACTTACCTGAATGAAGTTAAGTTGGATTTTGCAACCTTCATATCCTCATAGGAATTGTGTTCAGCCAGCTCACGCTCCCCTCACTGCCCTGTCCTTCCTGAGGATAAATTTGCTGCAGACGATCACTGAGTTGCATTAGTCCTTAGATTTGACCCTTTGGACCTTGATTCTGTAGCTGGAAGCTGCTGATTTATGTCTCCCAGACTGCAGCTAGGCACAGCTGGCAGTGGCTCATAGCTCCATATTCCACATTTGTCAGGAACCCAGGGGACATCATGACTGACCTACACTACCAGCTGTTTTACTGCAGATTTCTCTCTTAGTTCTGGACTGTCAGCCAGGCTGGTTTTACACTGTTACAAAACACTGTTCCATAATAGTGGCTCTGTATTTTTTGGTCTATTTGCCTGATCCTTATCACAGTTTCTCCTGTGAAGGAGTAGGGTGGAAGTTGAGACTTGCAGACCTGCCTGAAGTATCTTGCACATCCCCGCTGAAGGAAAACAGGCAGATGGGAAAGCAGAAATAACCTCCAGTACTGAATGCAGTTATGGTGGCTCAACATTTCAAAATGTCTAATCTCTGCAGCTTCTCTCTGGCCCTTATTCTCTGTCTTTTATGAACAGTAAGCTCTTTAAGGCAAGAGTTACCTATATTTAGAGCATCCTGCACAGTGGTTTCTTATGCAAATACAGTGGTTTCTTATGTAAACACAACTGATCCCTCCAGTGAGTACGATTCAGGATTAATCTCTAAAGATATCTATAACAGTTGTCTTATTCCTCTATCCTCCCACTGCACCTGAAACCCTCTGGTCTCTGCAATAGAGATAAATCACATAATAGTGAGCTCTATTATAGAGATAAACTACAAACACACACACACACACACACACACACACACACACACACACACTTGGTTATTTCCATTATTGTTCTTATCGCTTCTTGGTTTTGTTTATAAGGTGCCACACACCTTTTCTTGTGATAGCTCCAGAATGGAGTGAGTGCTTCTCATTCAAAAGAAAAATATCTCATTCAAAAGAAAGGGTGTATCTCCAAAGGCAGACTGTCCCACATGATGGCTTTAATGAGAAATGTGACAAAAGAGCTGATGGGGGTACCTGTGCTGCAATTCTTTGTCTCCTTACCTTTATCTCCTGACCTAGTTTCACCATCTCTTTACTACAGTCGATTTGTACAACCTCAAGGCATAAATACAAAGGTAATAGCAAGGATTCCTAAAATGGCTGGTTTTAAATCTCCAAGGACAGATTCCTCTTCTGAGCAAGAGCTCCCTGCACTGTGCCATAGGCATGAAGTAGCTGGGAGCCAATTTTAGCTCCATGAGCTTTGAGGTCATCCAATCTCTAAAATCCTTGGAGGAACTGCTCTGGGACTACACTAAGATGTGCCTTTAGCATAAGGTCAGATACACCGATTATCCCTGGAGGACAAGGTCTAAAGAAAAACAGCTCTTTCCAGCTGCCCTGATCCTACTATGATGTCTTAAAAGTTTTGTGTTGAGGAAGAGTTAGGTGCCTTTGAAGGCCTAGCAGAAAGGCAGTTTATTAGACTTTAATTTAGACTTCTTAGTTAGGCAAGTGGATCCTCTTGAAGCCAAAGGCACTTACCTCTTCCTATTCAATATAATGGAGAAGCACGGCAGTTTGTTATAGAGTGTGTTTTTTCCAAGTACCTGAAGCTTAGACACGAGTACTGTGCTTAATTTAGACAAGCTGTGAGTGCACTGCTGAGGGGCCAGAAGACAATTCCCTCCCCCCTCGCCACTGCAAGAGAAACCTGCATCAGAGGTTTTTTATTGTTTGCTTACTCTTCTGTACCATTAAATGTTTATAAGCCCAAATCAAGTTTACTGATCCTACAATTTCCAGTAACATTGCCAAAAATCTGCATAAAGAAAAACAACCATCACCTTTTTATTTTAACAAATGTCAAAACTTATAGCAATTTCACTGAATCAAAATATGTCTTTCCTCTACACAAATCTCTGCCTAAGATCCTAAAAGTGCCAACTACGAGCAGGAATTGAGCCTACTGTGAAAAGCAATCAGATCTTTGCATATTTTAATATTATTTCATGTGCAAGTTGACTCACAAATCACACTCCAGGGATGCAGCCTGAGGCACCAAAGGCCAAGGTTTTGAAGTTCACTGCAGGATAAAACTGTCACAACTCCAATGATAAATTAAAACTGGATACAAAGGAGACCAATGCTGATCTCTGAATTGTGAAATTACTCAGGTGAGAATACTCTCATTAGTAGGAAAAGTAGGAATGATCTTAGGCAGCTTTCCCCAGCAGTATCACTTCTGTACTATTTAAATTAAATCTCATCCAGTCATCAAGCTCTCACTCAAGTCCTTTTGTTGATGAGGCACTGAGAAAACCAGGACACTGTCACCATCTGGGTCAGATTAAAAAGGAGTTCTAGAGATATGTGTCATTAGCATAGGGGTGGCGTGATGTCTCAAGCTGCCTCTATCCCCAGGTAGCTTCACAGACTTACTACAAATCTTGTCTTGCAGATCCATAGGTGCCAAGATGGCATGAGGATTTCCAGGAGTACCTTAATTACTTTCTCTCTATCCTCTGATAGCAGGGAAAGGTCAGAAGCACAATGGTCACACATGGTCAGGACCACCAGACATCATTTTTAGTCCTACCCATTGCAACTGGGTTAACATCTCACAAACTGCTAGAAAGCCCTGTATAATGCCTGGATTTGGGATAACTGTGGGCAAAATGAAAGGAACAAACCCAACACAGAAGGAGCACTTCAATTCTGTTTTATTCCATCATTCTAAAGGCTGATGTGAGAAAAATTTGCTTCCTAATGGTGCACATGTTAAAAAGATAGAGCTTTAGTAGCAGAAATTCTAAGTAAAATTTTAATAGTTCAGGTGATGAGGAAAAGTAAAAGACATAGATGCTAGGTGCTTTGACTATCCTGGAATTTTGCTATAGAAATTAAACTTCAACATAATAATGCTTTCTCTTTTAAAAAAATGATTGTAAAAAATTAATTAGTACTTCATTAGTTGTCTTGAAGTTAGCAGATGTAAATTTAGCAGAGAAACAAGGAGTAATTCTAGGTCAGTGAGGTCACAGATTGCACTCTAAAGTGGTGAAATGTAAGGACAAAAGTAAATATTGTTTTGAGTAAGAACTTTGGCTAGATTTAGTTTCCCAGGTGTTCTTTGACCTTAATCAGGTAATTTGTTAGGAGAACTGAGGAGCTGACTTTGCTGTTCGCACCTGCAGTTATTCTAACTTGACATGGTATCCTCACTTCTCAGCTTTCGTCCTCCAAGTTCTCTGTATCTTTTCTACTGACCTTTCTGAGCTCTGCATTTAAGCAAAACATTTAGCCTGCTTATGAAAAAGTCAGTGCTCTGG